TAATATAACCAAGTGCAAACAAGTGTAAATCCAGAGCAATATAATACATATACTGGTACTAAAACTTAAAAATCTAAAAATCCGACAATCTGACATACGCGACAACGTCGACCTCCTGCCTTAGTCTGTACATGAAGGAGTCGGGATTTGAATCATGCATGACACTGAATAAGTGGGCGTTCCTGTATATATTGATTGAGAGTTTATATGAGCTTTCAACTTGGTTTTTCCTCCGAGCCTGGTTGCACTCGAAGACGTAAGAAGGAATCGGTAATATGCAAGATATAACGAAAACGATGGTTCTAACAAACGATACTCAACAACTGATTAATACTGATTAAACTGCAGATTTAATATATATGCAACAATATGTGTGGTTGTTTCTAAAAACAAAAAGTAGTCCAACCCGAACCCGAAAGCCCTAAAATCCTAAAACTCTGAACCTTAAACAGGACAAGGCGCGCATTGATAGCGCTCACTGTATATCCAGGTCTATAACAATCAGAAAAAACAAATGCGCTGGAGTGTGCTACGTAGACACAAACGGCATGTATACAATGAACGCACGATATGAGTACTGAAACCCGTCAGGTGTATTTGAAACAAGGGCAACTGTTCCATATATTTACGATCAGAAGACACCCACAAGAAATCGATGGAGAGTGTGAAGTAAAGATATACGGCGCAAACCGTCAGATGTAATTTAAACTAGCGCAATTACTATAATATTTTATCAATCAGAAGACACTCACAAGAAATCAATGGAATATGTGAAGTATAGTCATACGGCGACAATCAGATGTATTCGAAACAAGTGTATTAGCTACACAGGCTAACAATTGGAAGACACCCATAAGAAATCAATAAAGTATGTGAAGTATAGTCATACGGCGTATGTGCAACATTCAAACAAATGAGCGCTGGATCGTTTATATGAATATTACACTTCAAACCACGTTGATTGATACACTAACCCGATAATCTATGTTTACACAAGAATAATATTTTAACAGAGCACTCAGTTCACTCACCATTCCTGATGCCATCGCGTTGTGTCGATCTGTCCAGGGATGACGCTAGCAGTCACTGAGCAAAGCCAAATGGAGATACCAGCAATGAATACAAGTTCCCAAATGAACAATCAGGAATGGATTAGAGTATCCGGATGAACAATCAGGAACGAAATAGAGCATTCAGAATGAGAATCATGAATTGATTGGAGTATTTGGATGACCGATTTGGAGAGGGTTCGAGTATTCGGATGTACAACCAGGAATTGGTTAGCATATTTGGAATGAATGAGCGTATTCAGATGAATAATCAGGAATGTATTAGCGTATTCGGATGAAAAATTAAAAATAGGTTGGAGTATTAGGATGAACAAAAAGAAATTGATTCAAGTCCCGTTTAACGTTATTTCACTAAACTGTTCAGAAAAGGGGTACATATAGGGACGGACTCGTACTAGAACCTTTTTGCAAGCACTAGAGGTATACCAAATATTTGGACTAGGAAGGTAAATACCGACGACTCAGGATCATCGGATGATATAAACTCTACCAATCAGTGAGTACCAATGTCAAATAATTGTTCATATCACACTTACTGCGTGTGTCAGGACCGGAGTGAGCAGGTGACGATCGTACAAACAATGACAGGAAGCCCTGCAAAGAGTATGGAATAAGTAGTGAAAATGACTGATGAATGACAACAGAGGCGGGGGAATGGGACTCGTGTTCGCCTATTGTATCCCCATACGTATCTCAAGGGTCGTAACTATACATATACATAAATTCACATAGACAAGTATATATTATATATATATATATTTATATATATATTATATATATATACATATATTATTTATATATATATACAGATGGGTATATATATATATATATATATATATATATATATATATATATGTATTTATATTATACATTTATATTATATATATATATATATATATATATATATATATATATATATATATGTAGGTATATATGTATTCATATATATAAATATACACACACACATATATATATATATATATACATATATATATTTGTATATCCATATATATAAATATGTAAAATACACACACACACACATATATATATATATATATATATATATATATATATATATATATGTAATGTAAGAATATACACACACACACACGTATATATATATATATATATATATATACATATCTCTCTCTCTCTTTTAAATTATATATATATGTATGTGTGTGTGTGTATATGTATATTTTGTGTGTGTGTGTGTCTATGAGTGTGTCTAATTTTGTGTGCATGTATGTGTGTG